GCCCCCCCTCCAAGAGGCAACATGGGGCCAAAACGATAGTAAAACCAATGATGGTTGCTTCCTCGCCGAGGCCGTTTTGGACGCTCCGACGCCTCGCGAAACCCCTTGTCCAGGTCCAGGGGAGGGGGTATGGGGGAGGGGTAAACCCCTCCCCGAAGGGGAAGAAGGAGGGGTGGAAGAGGAAACGTCCAGAGGGCTGGTGGGATTGTTCGCAACAGCCTCACACGTGAATCGTTGATTGTCTCGCTCGTTTCACGTGCCTGGTGCTACGGCGTCCGCGTGCGATGCCCTAGCTGGCGACAGTTGCAGGTCCGATGTCCGATGTCCGATGTTTTGGATAGTTCGGGGTATCTGCGGAGCTCAGGACACGAGGGGCGCAAAAGGGGGGTCTTCGGGCAGGGGAAATCCAAAGGGGGGGTCGCTTCAAAGGTGGGGACTGTGGGCGGGGGGGCTTTCGGGAGGGGAGCCCAAGTGGGGCTGGGGGATAGCTTGTGTGGGGTGAAGGGGGGGGGGGGGGAATGGAGGATTTCGGAGCGAGGGTGCCCTTCGGGGGGGTCGTTTCCTGGGGCCCGAGCGGATGGGAAAAGGGGGACGGTGAGCTGGCGGCTTCGGGCGTGGGACGTCCAGAGGGGTGGGTGGGTGTCATCGGTGTGGCGAACCATGAAGGGGAGGGGAGGGGGGGAACCACGGGGCGGGATAGCCTCAGCGGGGTGACAAGAACGGGATAAAGGGACAGGGGTGGACTTCGGATCGAGGGCGTCTCAAGGGTGGTTGGGTGATAGCTGAGGACCCCCCCATTGCTTGGCCCCCCTGGCCGCTCTGTCTGTCTGTCTGTTTGTCTGTGAGTCTGTCTGTCTGTCTGTCTGTCTCTGTGTCTGTCTGTCTGTCTGTCTGTCTGTCTGTCTGTCTGTCTGTCTGTCTGTCTGTCTGTCTGTCTGCCTGTATGTGTTGTGTGTTTATTTGTCAGTCAGTCAGTCAGTCAGTCAGTCAGTCAGTCTGTCTGTCTGTCTGTCTGTCTGTCTGTCTGCCTCTTTCTGTCTTTCTCGTTACTGAGCATCCTCCTCCTCCTCCTCTCTTTCCTGTGCATCCTTCTCCTCCTCGCTCTCCTCCTCCGCCTTCTTCGATGGGAGGCTGCTCTTCTCCGGGGGCCAGGCTGCCCAAAGCCGCCCGCTGCCGCCGCCGTGGGCCGATGGACTCTCCTCTCCCGTCCTCTTTTCTCTTGCTCTGGGCCGTCTCGTCCCGCCCCCTCTCCGGCACTTCCTCCTCCCTTCCTTCCTTCCTCCTTCCTTCCTTCCTTCCTCCTCCTCCCTTCCTCCTCCCTTCCATTCCTCCTTCCTTCCTCGCTTCCTCCTCCTCCCTCCCTCCTCCCTTCCTCCTCCCTCCCTTCCTTCCTTCCTTCCTTCTTCCTCCCTTCCTTCCTTCCTCCCTTCCTCCTCCTCCCCTCCTCCTGCTCCTGCCCTGCCGCGCCCACCCGTGCCTCCCCTCCCTCGCCCTGCAGCCCTCCGGGGCCGGCCCCGCCGCCCGAGCCGCGCGGCGCGGCGGACGGAGCCGGCAGGCAGCGGCAGCGAAAGCCTGCAGGTGCTTCTGGCGGCGACGGCCCCGCGGCGCCGCAAAAAAAAGTGTGCCGCCTCTGCCGATGCCGGCGCGCGCAGAGGGGGGTGGGGGGAGGAGGAGGAGGAGGAGGAGGAGGAGGAGGAGGAGGAGGAGGAGGAGGAGGAGGAGGAGGAGGAGGAGGAGGAAGGAGGAGGAGGAGGAGAGGAGGCACCCCTGCTTCTTAGAAGGCGCGGCCCTTATCTATAGATGTGAGGCCGGCGCCTTCCAAGAAGCAGCCTCCTTCCAAGGAGCCCTCCCCCCCCTGCCCCCACCCCCTGGTGCGCGCCGCCAACGATGCCGGCGCGCAAGCCTCGGGCCGAACGAAAGGGGGGGAATTGGGAAAGGGGGGGGTACGAAATTTGCTGCATGCAGCTGGATTCGGCCCCGCCAGCGGGGCCCATTCCTCGATGCATGGGCGCCTCCTGGCGCCGGGAGGCGCCGGGAAAATCAGCTACGTGAGCTGATGCTCAAACCCCACCTTTGCTATCCTCCCCTTTCGCCCGACCCGAAAGCTGCCCGCGCGAGGTCGCGCGCGGGCGCCCGCGTCTTCCATGCGGCGTGCCGCGCTGGCGGCCCGCGTCAGCCGCGGCGCAGGATCGATGCGTCGTCTCGCGTCAGGCCCATGTTTGATCCTCGCTCAGCCTGTGGGAGCGGGATCGCACGAACGTTCGCGCACCCTTCCAAGCCCCCCCAAAACAGGGGGTGGAGTAGCCATAGGGTCGGCGCATCGCGCCGCATCGCCGACGCACCGGCTGTGCGGCGCGATCCAGAGTCAGATATTCTCCGTCCCGACGTCGCCCCTGCACCGGCGACACGTCGGCGATGTGGTGTGACCCTCTGGCCCCGTCCGTTCTGGCCCCGTTCGAGGGCCGTCTCGGCAGGGCCGCGGATGCCTCCGAGAAGGCTTGCCAGAAGCTGGGGCGGCTTCTGAGTGGGCCCCCCGTCTTCCTTCGGTCAGGAGGGAAAAAAACACACAGACACAATTAATCGTCGATTCCCCAGAAAATACTGGAAGATATGGGAAGTGTGGGGGAATACAGACCCCCCCGAAAATATAGGAAAATATGGGGAATCTTTTTATTTGTGTCTATTTATTTGTGTGTCCCAGGGTTTCTTCAAAGAAGGCTTTTCAGAAGCCAGGGCGGCTTCTGAGTGGGCCCCCCGTCTTCCTTCGGGCGGGGCTGGGGCGGGGGGCCGGGATGAAGCGCTCCAGTGCGTCCTGGAACGCTCCTCAGAGGCGCCCCGTCGCGCCGTGGAGCGGCCGCGCGGCGCCCGATGCGGCATCCAGAACCGCTGGACCTCGGAGATCCTGGGTCTGTCCAAGTCCGATTCTGTCCCGAGCCTTGCTCCATCTTTTTCTCAGAGGCCTCGTCTTAGCGGCGGCCACAAGGGGGTGACGCGAGGGGGGTGGTCTTCGTAGAAGGGCGGTGGAGCTTCTCAGAAGGCAGGGGCTTTCTCTGAAGTGACCGGTGGCTTCCGATACACCTTATTAGAAGCCTAGATACGGGTTTTTCAGAAGACTCCTGGCTTCTGAGAAGCCCCGCCGCTTTCTCAGCCGCCCACCCCTCTCGCGCCACCGCCTCGTGGGCGTCTCCGCCGCCCGGCCGCCTCAAGAGGCCCCCCCCCCCGCGCCAGCCCAGTGTGCGCGCCGCCAATAAGATAGAGCTCGTGGGGGCGCGGCTGCAAGAGCGTCCGCGCGCCTCGGGCTTTGTTCGGGCCGTGGCGGTGGGGGATCGAGTGGGAGTTGCTGGGCCTGTTTTCCACCACCACCACCACCTCAATGAGTTCGAGGGGAAGGAGGAGGAGGAGGACGAAGAGGAGGAGGAGGAGGAGGAGGAGGAGGAGGACGAGGAGGAGGCGGAGGCGGAGGCGGAGGAGGAGGAGGAGGAGGAGGAGGAGGAGGAGGGGGAGGAGGAGGAGGAGGAGGAGGAGGAGGAGGAGGAGGAGGAGGAGGAGGAGGAGGACCCCCTCCCCCTCCAACTTATGGTGGTGGGGGTGGTGGAAAACAGGCCCATCAGGAGTTGGCGGCGCTCCTGAGATCCTGGCGTCTCAATTCTTCCGCGCGGGGCGTGTTCCACGGTTCCAGGCCCCGAGGCTCTCGCATATCGACTCGCGTGGAGGAGCGGCGCAGGAAGGTGGGGCCCAAGGCCCAGGTCGCGGTTCTTGGTGATGCTGCAGTCTGCGACGTCGGATCTCGAGGGGCAGAGCGAGGGGGGGTCACCTTCTGAGGGCCCCGGGCGGTCTCGGAGCGATCCTGAGGCCTCAGAGGGTCCATCGCGGGGCGGCGAGGCGAGGAGGCAGCTGCCGGTCGGAGTCAATGCAGGTGTCCGAGAGAGAGAGAGAGAGAGCTCGGCCTCCCAGGGTGCAGTCGCTCGGAGCCCTCTCGCGTCGGTCTTGGGGCGTCCCCACCCGCCGAGAGGGCGCCGGGCGCGCGCGTGGCTTCGAGCCGCCGGGTCCTCCGTGGCAGGCCCCCCGCCCGCCTCCTCGGAGGCACGGCGGAGGGCTCCTCGCGATCGCCGCCCCGGCGGGGGGCCCTCGCCGGGCCTCGGGGCCGTCAAGGAGCAGCCTGGGACGAGGAGCCGGTCCACGGGAAGGGTCGGAGGGGCCGGATGCACACAGACCACGTCGTGTGGTCGGCCAGGGAGGAGGTCAGTTCGGCGCAGACATTTGGTGCATATTCGGGCCGGACGAAAGGGGGGGATTGGGAAAGGGGGGGGGTTACGAAATTTGCTGCATGCAGCTGGTTTCGGCCCCACCGAGTGGCCCATTCCCCGATACATAGACGCCTCCGGCGCCGGGAGGCGCCGGGAAAATCAGCTACGTGAGCTGATTCTCCCCCCCCCCCCTTTGCTATCCCACCCTTTCGCCCGACCCGACATACGCGCTCCAGCGTCCCAAAGGTTGAGCTACAAGAGCTCGTTGGCCGACCAAGCGGCGTGGTGTATACATCGGGACCCTCCCAGAGGGCTCCAGACCTCTTGGGGTCCACGCTATGAGCTCAGACGCGTGGCGTCCTGTTTTTTCTATTTCAGTGCGGGGCCCCCAGAATTTCCTGACCATGTTTTCTCAGGAGGGAAAAACACCCAGACACGATTCGTCGTCGATTCCCCAGAAAAATATGGGAGAATATGGGAAGTGGGGGGGAAGACAAGACCCAGAAGATATGGGAAAATATGGGGAGTCCTTTTATTTGTGTGTACTTGCTTGTGTGCCCCAGGGCCCCTTCACTTTCATCCCGAGTCGCTCTTTGGCTGGCCCTGCGGCCCGGCGAGGGCCCCCAGGGGCTGCTCACGCTGAGAGACCTCCCGCCCTGCTCTTCTCGGGGCGGCCGGCATCCCCTGGGCTCCAGGCCGCTCTGGAGCGA